AGGAACATACCTTAAATGGTACTAGGATCCCTTATATCATTCAAGCTAGATTCCTTACTTAAGGGGTATTGGGCTCCCTGGGTACCTGAGTTAGAGGTGCTAGTGGATTTGAGCTGTCGTTTACAAGCAATGGCCCTTAGAAGAATGCTTGAGGCCATGCCAGTCATTCTTTCTCCCACTGCTTCCACACGTGCATTTACAACTGTACACACCCCATGATGGTCGCTATATGTATTCGCCACACCCTAAACCCTAAACCCCATCTGAGTGTTTCAGGTGCATCCAGCAGAGCGCGAGTACCTGGAGGCATGATGTTCGTGGAAGATACTGGTGTAGTACCCTTTCAAGGGGGATACAGGGTTCTACAGGGATATATAGGGTTATTGTAGGGTTTAGGGTTTCCCAAAATTAGGTATACCTGAATGGGGGCTCCCATGCTTCAGGGAAACCAATAGATCATGATGGTAAGAAGGACGTTTCGGTACAGTGGGAGAGATTACAGTGTAGATCTACCTCACCAAGACTAGATACTTTCGAGTGTTCAGAGCCCTCTGCTGCCACTTCCATCGCTGCTCGTACGGCTTCATTTTGTCTTGCTTCGTGGACTGCAGCAGGTAGTACTCAGGGTGCTGGTGATGGCACTGGCGGTGGTAGTGGTGTTGTTGGTGGTGGTTGTCGTTGTAGGAGGAGGATGTTTGCTGTTCCTCCTACTAGTTACCTGCAGCCTACTGCACTGACACCACTGCCGCTGCTCCAGTCATTGATGTTACTAAAAAAATATTATCATTGCAGTTACTAATGAAAAATATTTTCATTGCAGTTACTAATATCATTATTTACGACTCTGTAAATACCATTACTATTGCTGTTTATGCAGGAGCAGCCTCCTCCGGGATCCACCTGGAACTGGCACCTACAGGCCGGCTTGATAATACTAGTGTTCAGTATATGAGCTGAGGCCAAAAAGAAGCTATTGTAAAGTGGGTGAAGGTGGTTGTTGAAGTATTATTGTAAAGTGGTAAAGGCGGTTGTTGAAGGAGTGTAACAGTTTTGGCTACTGCAATGAAGCGGGGCACCCCGCATAGATTTCACCATTACCACGTAACGTCGACATCAGCTCATATAGGTACTGTAATCACGGATTGTATGGGGACTACGCAAAGGATCCATTTTCCCAGTCCCGAGCGAATCCGAAGCCCTCAACCGTAAACCCTGAACCATAAACCTTGTATAGTATTCAGAGGTTCCATTTTCTTCTCCGTTGCTTCCTTCCTTCTAGTTCTCAGTAAGAGTCTGCAGTTTTGTCGGAACCGCCATGTGAACTCACGAAGAGGGAGTGTTTGGGAGGGATGCTACACCAAGAGATTTGTCAGCCTTCATAGGTTTCGCCCCAGTTGAAGGAAGATATCAGGATTTTCTCTTGCTTCTTTGTCACTGGCCCAGTGAAGGAGAGTTGCAGGATCAAATCTGGTTTCTCTGAGCAGCAGACGTGTAAGAGTGACCACAAGGTTCGGTAGAACAGGGTATGACAGAAATCAGGGTGGTACTGAATTTACCTTCGAGCCCATGTGCCGACTTTGAAGCTCCCAATCCTACTCATTTTCAGCTTACATGTTTGAAGCTTCCCGGTTTTGGGGAATTGGCTTTTTGGGACAACCCAGTGGACACGCAGCAAGACTTGTTCACACCATTAGGTTAAGTCCTTCCCCCGTACAGTACCTGTTACCACAAGAGGTAATAGGAGTTCTAATGGCCCCCTCATGAGATGCCTTTAAGGACAGTTCTTGGGGTGTAAGGTTCAGGGTTACCGTAAGGGCGAGTGAACCAACCTTTAGGTGTCCAGGCTTGAGAGTGTACAGGGCTCAGGGCGTGAAGTTTTTGGTGGTCTGGGGCATTCCGCACTGCGACAAACTCCTCTTTAAGGTTTATGGTTTCGGGTGTTGATTTTGAGCCCATCAACAGAAAGTAGGTGCAGTTATTCACTGTAGATCAAATTCCTGGTTGCTCTGTCCTAACCGAAGCAAACCCCATTCAGGTTGGCCAGATTTACAGAGTCTGTTAAGGTATAATTGGAGGACTATATTCGGGTCCTCTTATATTCCTATTATACCACTATAACAGGGTAGGGGGGGATCCTCCTAATCCAGAGCTATGACAGGGCGCGCATCTTTTCTCGAGTCGTCCAAGGCTTACCTTGCTCCATCAGCCTCCCTAACTTGGTGACTCTCAAGCCCGAAACGAAGAAGCTAGACGTATTTCTGGAGGCTTCAAGAGCCCTTCTTGCAGCCCCTCAACCCTTAACCCCCTGTAGCTTCCATTTTCTTCTCCATTATCACTACATCATTCCCATGTAATTGTTTTTTGGAGGTGGGGACTGTTGTCCTCAACAAGTCGGTGCTGCGTCCGGGCAGGCTTTTCCGCTGAGGGGTTTTGCAGCGCGGATCCTTTTTTCAGGTAGGGTTCTAGTTCTTGTGAGTGAACAGGGTGGTGAAGAAAGGTTGCTCACAAAGGTTGGTGAGGTGCATATATATATATATAGATATACATATATTGGTTGGGTTCTGAGGCGGACAGTGAGGAATCACAAGATTTAGGTTATTGGGTCTAGACCGGATTTGCTTGACAACGGCAGCTGTTTTTCGAGGTTCTGGAAGCAGGCCGGAAATGAGAGCCTCTAGAAAGGAAGGGAAGCAGCGAGGTTCAGTGGCTTTGGTTGAAAGAAGAGTAGTAGTGTATATATATATATACCCGTAAGAATAATAGTAATGATAGTAGTATACTGAAGGGTCAGCGCTTTCGGAGTTGTCAATTTTGTGTCTATCATCCAACTTGACACAACGGATCGGTGGTTTCTTTTGTTGTTGGTCTTTCCTTGCCCAAAGTACAAAGGCTTTGTGTATCTTCTGGGCATGTGGAGAAATCGTAGCTGAGGGATGTCCCTGATGGCCAGGTCCTAAGTAGTTCCATATTATCACCAGCAGATTTATCCAGGATGTCGACCGGGGGTTTTCGTAAATTGTCGGGCTCCGAGCAAGACCCCAACATACCAGAATCCTTATCCCTGGGGACCGTTTTGGAGACTCCCACATGCACATGCAGGGAATCTTTTCTCTCGGATGGTTTTTGTTTATCTTCTGGCATCTCCCAAGGTTTGCACGAAGGAATCCCAGACTGCTCTTTTGCAAAGGAGCTATGTGCTGTACCTAAACCCTAAACCCTAAACCCCAAACCCCAAACCCTAAACCCTAAACCAGCTTCACTTCGTTGGAAGGTGGCATGACATCACTATGGTCGTGAACTGCAAAGAAGGCCGCGCCTCCATCTACGTGGATGGCAAGAGCGTCGCCTGTCCTGCAATAGAGGTAAGGGTTTAGGGTTTATAGGGTTTAGGGTTTAGGGTTTACGGTTTAGGGTTTAGACTTTCAACCAGCATTTGGCCAGTGGTAGTTAGAGAACACCTTTCAGAATTCTACGGCAACCTGCAAGACCATGTCAACTTCTCAATGAACTTTTGTATGAAGCAACCTCCATCTTCCCTAGTTTACTTAGGAATTACTTTGCCTGTTTATAGTATTGCTTTAAGGACTTATCAAGATTAATGCCTTGTTATAACGTGTCTAGGGGGATGGCCGTATTCTTGGGCTTGGTAAGTTCCACGTACTTCGTTCCCTATTCAGAAGGTGCAAAAGCAGATTGCTCAAGAAGAATGGGTCCCTTGTAAAGGATTTAGGGGTTAGGCTCCACACATGAGGGTGAGGCTGTTACCGCCTTGGTGCATGCATGCTTCTCTTCCTGTAGACTCCCCTTATAAACTAAAGGAATCCCCATGAAGATATAGAATAATATCATATCAGCCATGGCATAAACTCCTTAAATGGGGTCATATAGGGGATTACATAGGGGAGTATTGGATGGGGTTATTGAGGGACATACTAAGAGCTTAGACTATAGCCCATATGAGATGAACATCATATCAGATAGTAATTTCTCCGCAGCCAGGCTCTTTGAGGACAAAGTCTCTGCAGCAAAGTTCTTCAACACTTTGACCCAAGCTATGAGCTCGACCCTTCAAACTCCTCACAGCCACTTTTCCCAGAATATGTATAAATGCAGAGCAAGCTGAGGCATCGGTCTTTGTGATGACCCCTTGAAACCTTGAAACCAACCCGTTCAATGTAAAGTCCCTACTAACTGCTTTTCCGATTTTCGGAAGCCGCCACGTGGGTGCTGGATTTTCCACCCGGTCGCTGCAGCCATGGTCGAAGGCAACGGCGTTTGGCGCACGGCCGCCAAGCTTAGGCTCCTCTTCCTGCGGAGGAGTGAAGTGCCTTGCACGTTTCATCTAAGGCTAATGGCATGTTCCCTATTTCGCAGAGAAGATTAGAGGCTATGTGCTGACAATCATGGTCGCCAGCATTGCGTGTTTTGCTAATCGCCTCTCTGGTCTCGCGAACCCTCAACGCAACTCCTAGCCCCCTGCACAGCGAATCATGAAGTTTGATCTGATCCAGAAACCCAGAGACCAAAATCGAACAGAAAAGCGATACTGGCACGATTTTGTGGGGAGCGGGTGTTTCCTCCCAGCCCACAAACATAATTTTGTCTCCAGGAGGCTTCGGGCTTCCAGCCCGAATGGATCCTTCGATGCCAAAGCAGTGGATGGCTGCGTGCTAGCACCTCGTCTCATCGTTTGGGACCGGGGGTCCATGAGGTTTGGGCTTTGGGTGGGCTAGGTATGGATCCAGTGAAGCCCCTGCTTGAAAGGCAGAATGCGAGGGATGATTCGTGGAGCCTCAGGGAGAAACTCCATAGCTTTTAGGGTATAGGGTTCAGGGTTTAGGGGTCTTAAGCACAAAACCTCAACCCTGAACCCTAAGAACTCAATCCCAAGCCTGCGGGGGAGTGCTAAATTCCAGGTGGCTGTGCAGGCCATCGGGAAGAACCTCTTCCTGCACTTCGAAACTGCAGCAGGCCTCCAGATCGTCCAGCTACACTTCGGGATGTCAGGCTGGGGGCCCTGAAAACAGGATTTGTGAGGATACCAGGCCGGTGATTCTGATTATTCTTATTATCATCATTTGTTATTGCTACGGTTAATCAATGACTACTAGTATTGCTACTATGATTTAGGTGGTCCTGAAAGAGATGAAGCAATCCTAGAAACCTGCTGAGTTCTTTCTGTTGTAGAAGCCTGAATGCGCAGGATATGTCAGGACCATCGTCGTCTTACACATCTTCGAGATTTAGAGTAGAACATGCGCAAAAAGCCTGATCCCAATTCTTTAAGCTAGGATAAGACGCACCCTCAAACCACCACAATGGGAGCTATGCTTGGGCTTCTTTTCTTACTTCTATCACTGCAGGTGCAGATCCCTAAACGATCAACCCCAAACCGATATTGAGCTAACTTCAGGTGGCTTCCCACTCTTTCGGCTCTCCGAAGACCCGGGCGCGCGGAAGACTTCCCGTCTGCGCTTGGAGAGCTCCGAGACGGAGGAGCGGGCTACTCCAAATGAGCATCCCCTGTGGTAGGACTTAAACTGTGTGAAGGGAATATTGAGAGTGTTATTGTTCTTGCAGGATGAGCAAGTTTTTGTTCCTGGGTGGCTTCCTAGAAGGATCTGGCGATGGGATGGGGTGGGGTGCTTTTATTAGCAGCACTGTTGCTGTTCGTTACATCCAAGGTTTTCTGCAAGGTCGCCATGGCGACGCTTTTTTGCAGAGTGTGTTTACAGCTGGATCATGTTTTAGAAGCAAAGTTGGACCCAAGAAGTCTGATCTGCAAGGTATCAGTTTTTTCAGACACAAGCCGAAGCCCATGTTCTCTAAACAAACCATAGTGAGATCCCCATATACCCCATATTCTATCTACTTAAGGGGGACTTCATAGCAAAGCATGTTGATTCTCATCCCACAGGCCGTGGGGCCATCATGTCAACCATGACATTGTCCAGAGATTCATTCTTGCCTGCCTACACATATGAGCTATAGTCTAGACTCCTAGTATCCCCCTTCATAAGCCTTGTGATAGTCCCCTATATAATCTCCTACATCGGCCCCTCTAAGGAGTTTAGACCATAGCTCATGTCATGTTTGGGCCTTGTCTTTTTTGTGCAAAGGCTTTGAGGATCCTGCTGTCGCGTGTTGCGGAAGAACGTCAGATGTGGCTTAGGGTGTAGGATTTAGGGTTTAGGATTTAGGGTTCAGGGTTCGGGGTTTAGGATTTAGGGTTTAGGGTTTAGGGTTTAGGGTAAAGGATCCAAAAAATGTCACCTCGTGATAATCCCGTAGTTTCCCTAATGTAGTATTTGTTTTTTTTTTTTGTGGCAGGTGGTTGGCTACATGTCGGGCATTCGCTGCCGGATCTTGCCGGCTTCAGACCTAGACAAGGCCAAATCCGCTTGGGGGTTTGGGCGCCCTATAACAGCCTATAATCCCCCTTTAAAGGGCTAAAGGATCCTTAATCCTTGAAGCCTATATAAAGCCTATGATCCCCCTTTCAAGGGTAAAGGGTCGTTAATCCGCTGAATCCTACATAAGCCTATAATCCCCTAAACCCTAAATCCCCTTTTAAAGGGGTTCTTTGGATGGATGCCCCACAAGGCCTTGTCGGCCCTGGGTCCGGATCCCCTGCGTGCAGACAGCGACCCAACTAGAGCATGGAAGGCCTGACCGGTCAGAGTTTAGGGTTTAGAGTTTAGGGTGTAGGGATATGTAGGGATTATAGGGTCTAGGGTTTAGGGTTCCAGAATTAAGGGTACCTTTAGGGAGTTTCCCAAAATTAGGCGTCCCATACTATAGTATTTTTGGGTCTATATTGGGGTCCCAGTAGAAGCCCATCTTATGATGGCAAGCAGAAGTTTATTTATCACAACACCACGATGTAGTCTCTGAAGTGCATCACCACTTTGCCTCTGTGGTCCCACCCATTCCCGGAGTCCCTAGTCTTTTCAGAAACCCCACACCCCAAGCCCTGAACCTCTACCAAAGACCCCGGCTCCCAAAGCAGGCCGTGCGAACTTCGTCGCGGCCTATAGGTCTCATGCTCATGGACCAGTGCCTCAGAGTCATACCGAACAACAGAGTGGGTCGCGTTCATTGTTGTTGTTTGTGCCTTTCCGGCGAGTTAAAAAAAAGGGTTCTTCATACCTACGACGCTGCTGGATTGTTGGGTGCATGTGCCCTGAACAGTGGAAGCAAAACGTCCAGGATGATTTTATAGTAGTTTCCATTTCATTTTCCATTATCCCATATAACCCCAATATACTATAGTAGTTTCCATCTTGATTTTCCATTATCCCAATATTACCCCTTATAACTTATATAACCCCAATATGGTAGTTTCCCAAAATAAGGGGACCCCAATATAGACTCCAAAATATTATACTCCTTATTCTAGGGACCCCCAAAACGGTACCCCTAATTTTGGGAAACCTCCGTATATAAGTGATAG